GTCTCTGAGCTTTATTTACTTTTTTTTTTTTTTTTTTTTTGAAGTTTATTTATTTTTTGAGAGAAAGAGAGTGCGAGCTGGGGAGGGGCAGAGAGACAGGGAGAGAGACTCCCAAGCAGGCTCTGTGCTCTGAGCGCAGCAGCAAGGTCTGTTGCCCTGATGCAAGGCTCCATCTCCCCAGTTGTAAGCTCAAGACCTGAGCCCAGATCAACAGCCGGGCGCTTAACCAACTGAGCCACAGAGGCGCCCCTCTCCTATCTGAGCTTTCCAGATCCCTCTCCCTCTCTCTCTCTCTCTCTCTCTCTCTCTGTCTCTCTCTCTCTGAGCCTCCCTCAAATGAGTACAGTATACTGTAACTACTCGGCCAGGCCCTTGTGAGGGTAAAGGGGAGTGCGTGAGTAAAGAACCTGGTGCCAGATAGAGAGCAGAGAGCAGTATTAATTGAGCGTGCAGATTGCAAATGACAAAGCAATGAGGGAAGGTGCTCTGGGGGTGCCTTCCCATAGTCCCCTGAAGGACTCACCGGTCAGGCAGGCTGTGAAGAGGTCCCCGCAGGCCACATGTTTGATAGTCACGCCCGACTGGCCCTCCAGGAAACGGGAGACGAACTGGGGCTGCGGCTGCTCCACGGCCCCGGGCAGGAGCGCGCCCCCTCCGGCGCCTAGGGGCGGGGCCTGTCGGAGGCCAGGAGGGCGTGGGCGGCGCCCCGGCCGCCCCTGCTTGGCCCCTGCTTGCCTGGGCCCCCCTTGCCGTCCAGGGCCACCCCAGCCTGCTCACCTCCCAGAGGATAAGGCGCCCCGAGCGCGTGACGCCCGCCTTCTGCGTGCGCCCAGCTGCCACCTGGACCACCTCTGTGTTGAGCATGGGCAGCCGCAGCGGGGCGCTGAGCCCACCGCCCCACGCGTAGACCGCCGACAGCGGTGGCGGAATGGCCGGCCGTGCGGGTCCCCGGGGTATACCTGCGGGGACAGTGGATCAGGCCTATTAAACTAGTGGGAATGGCTTGGTGGCCGTGGGCACCGGCCGGGGGGCTCCGACTTACCCCTGCAGCGGGCGCCTGTGGTCCTGCTCCCTGTGCTGCCGGGGGCCATGGGTGGCCCTGGGACCAGGGACTTCTCTGCCCTGTGGGTCGGGGGTGGGGGTGGAGGTTCAAGACCTGGCCCATTCCTGGCACTCCCACACGCAGGAATGGAGGACTTGCCCCGAGCTCCCTCTGCCCCAGGCTCATTGTGCTCCCATTGGGTGCTCCCCTGGGCCCAGAGTCCCCCTCCCTCCCTGCACAGGCCTCCTCATGCGGATGCTCCCCAGGTCGGTGTGGAGGTTGAGGAGGGCACGGATGCAGAGTGGCTGTGCCATGATGTGGCTGAGCGGTGGCCGCTGTGAGGGCTCCAGGCTGAGCAGACTGAGGACGAGCTGGCGCAGCTCAGGGCTGTACCGGTCAGAGATAGGTGCAAAGGTGCCACTCATGATCTTCAGCACCAGCGCTGGCAGGTTCTATGAAAGCATCAAGTGTGAGGTTGGCCACAGCCGGAGTCATGCTCTTGGGTGGCAGCACCTCACCGCCCCAGGTCTAATGGGGTGGTCATTGCCCTGCACTCAGAGCGTTCAGTCTGAAGAGGGGACTCCCAGTGATACAGTTGCTGAACTCTGCTCTCAAGAACTCCTGATAGGGGAGCTTAGCTTCAGTTATGTCCTCAGGAACCCTAGGTTGTTGGGAGAACTCAAGCCTTGCCCTTAGGAGGGTCCCTAATCTGATGGGAAGAGCTCTGCTTTCAGGAGTCCTCAGTTTAGTGGAAAGGCCCAAGCCCTCCCTCAGGAACCCATAGCCAGAGGGAAGTCACAGCCCTGCCCTGGGCTGACCTACCGGTCTGATGAGGGAAACATAACTCAGCCAAAAGAGAAGAAATAAGAGGTGGCTGGAGCCGAGGACTTCCTGAGGAGGGACAGAGATGTCCTAGTTGTCCCCATGGGGGTGCTAACTCACCGCAGCTTCAAAAGCCCTCTTGAGACTGGCCAGTTCATAGAGGACACAGCCCAGGGCCCAGATGTCACTCTTCTGGTTGTAAGGCTTGCCCTCACACAGTTCAGGGGAGATGTAGCACGGAGTGCCCACCACCTGCAGGGCGGAAGAGGATATTATTATAGCCTGAGGGTGGGGGAGGGAAGGCTCTGTTCAAGGCCCACTGGGAGACAGCTTCTTCCCAAAGCAGGCCCAAGTGCTTCTTCCTGCAGCCAGCCAGGGCCTAAGGGGCCAAGGTCTTATGGTGGGGAGAGAGTTGGGACACAGAGTGGGCCTTGGCCATCAAAACCTCCAGCACCCTTGAGTTCCCCTCCATGCCCAGGCACCGTGTAGGCCTTGCTCTTGCTGCTAAGGATCTTGGAGATGCCGAAGTCCCCGATCTTGACAACCATGCGGTGTTTGTCAAGAAGGATGTTTTGAGTCTTAAGGTCCCGGTGCAGGATGAGATGGGTGTGCACGTGATGGAGCGCGAGCAGGATCTGCACAAAAAAGTGCAGGATGGTCTCCTCCTCCAGCAGGGAGTTACAGCGTTTTTGGATGAACTCAGCCAGGGTGCCACCTGCAGCCACAAGGAACCACTTCAGATCCAGGTCTCCCCATACCTGGGACTCTCCTTTTATGAAACTAAACCCAGAAAGGGCAAGGGCCTGCTAGCCTCACACAACTGGGATGAGAACTCTATACCTCTGACCCTCCATCAAACTCATTCTGAGGAGGGAAGCCGGCTGATCTGTGTCTGCCTGCCCCAGAGGTGAGAGGCCCTTGGAGCCAGGACAATGCAAGAAGGCTGGCCCACCTGGTGCGTATTCCATGGCAATCATGAGGGCCTTGTCCTCCAGGAAGTTCTCATAGTACTCAATGACGTTGGGGTGATTGAGTAGCTTGAGGACCTGGCACTCATTTTGGGCTGCCTGCCGCTCTTCTTTGGTCATCTGCTCCACTGGGATCTGCTTGATGATCACCAGCTTCTGGTCAGCCTTGCGCAGGCACAGGTGCACAATCCTGGGGACACAGAGTACAGGGGTGGGTACCAGCCGAGCCTCCAGCCACACATCAGGCAGGGCAGACCTGGTCACTGGATAGTACTTAAGAGAGGGGAAAGGAAACCCAGACTAAGAGATCATCTAACTAAATGCACAGAACACTGAGTTTAGGAACAGGGAGAATTGACCACAAACTCTGTGTGAGACCTTAGGCAAGTCATTTAACTTATTTGAGATTCAGTTTCACCAAAGACACAGTGAAGTTAGTCTTGATCTCCCTACGTTCCCACACACCCTGGAGTTAACTGCCTGGGTTCAAATCCTGGCTCCTCCTCTTACTACTTATCTACTCTTGCATTATATGATGTTATCATCTGAAAAACAGAATCAACTTCCCTGGGTTGCTGAGAAAATGCATGTAAGGCACTTAGCACAGCGTTTGGCACATCAAAAATGCTCAATGAGTAGAAGCCATTTACACTATTATTTTCTTCCAACTCTGGTTAGTATCCATAAAAAGCAGGATTCTTGTTCTCCTTCGCAACCATATCCCCAGAGCATAGCCCAATATTTAGCACACTGGAACTCAATAAGTATCTGCTGAATGAATGGATGATATGAATGAATGATCATCTAAGTATCAAATTTATATTTGATATATCTCTCCTCTGAGCCCCAGACTAACAAATCCAACTACCTGCCTTGCATCTCTACCTAAATGGCTTGCATGCATCCTTAATTTTAACAAAAAAATCAAAATAGAACTTTTGATTCCTGCCCCCAAAACCTTTCCTTTCTCAGTCTCTTCCATCTCAGTAAATGACACCACCACAAAGTCAGACACCCTGAAAATCATGCCAAAATCTTTCCTCCATTTCAAACAAACACATCAACAAATCCTGTTTCTACCTCCAAAATATTGTGAACTCATCCATTTCTCTCTCTGATTTCTGCTACAACCCTTGGCCAAGTCATTATTTCCTGCCTAAAATACTGCACGAGTCTTTAAAATGGTACCTTCACTTTTGTCATCCTCAAATCTAAGCTCCATACAGCAGCCCGAGTGACATTTTAAAAATGCAAATCACATCAAGACCATTCTGCTTAAACCTCTTCCCTTTACACTTCAAATACATTCAACCCCTTTATCTCCGCCCATAAGGCCATAATCTGGTCCCTGACCTCTGTGACAATCCCATTTTATACCATTCTTTCCCTTGCCCACTACATTCCAACTTCAGTCTTTTTCTCGGTTCCTTGAATACTCTGAATTCTTTCTCACATGAGGTCCTTCCCATAGACGGTTTCCTCTGTTTGAAAAGCTCTGCCTTCACCTTCGAATTACTGGTCTTCATTCCTTAAGTCTTGGCTTTAAACCACCTTGACCATCCCAAATAAGTACTCCCTGGTGTATACTATGCTCGCAGCTTGTTAGTAACTGCTTTAATATCTTGTTTATTGTATTATTTCCCTACAGTCTGTAGGCTTCGAGAGAGAAAAGGCCACGCCTATTTTGGTCTTGACAGTATACTTGGCGCCAAGAGACAGACCGGTAGAGTTGGCGCTCAGTATTCGTAGAATGAATGAATCAGGCATCAAAGAACAGAACTCTGCGGGGGCGCACAGGCTTGTTGGGGGCGTGACCTCCTTAGAGGCGGAGTCTCCCAGCAGGGACTGAGACCGGAAGTCTGGGCGGGGCTTTCCAAGTGTGCGCTCACGCCTCGGGGCGGGGCTAACCAGGCAGAGAATTCGCGGACAGAGTTCGGACTTACTTTCCCTCTCCCCGACCAGTTTCCTTCCCCAGATCCCTGGCTCACCCGAAAGCACCTCTCCCCACCACTCGGATCCGCTCGTACTTCTCCATCTCATTTCTCAGTCACATTTCCGGAACCCCTACACCCAGACACGGCGCGTGCGCGGACCCGCCCACCCTAGGGCCACGCCCCCTACGTTGCAAGATAATTGGGGGCGGAGCAAGTGAGATTGGAGTTCGTTCAGCCTTGTATCTGTTTTGTGCTGTTTAATGGGTCTTACCAGCCCCCACCCTGTTACTTTTTCAGGGTCCGAGGAATGGAGTGTTATGCCGTTTCTTGGCGCGGTTAGCGGTACGGTACCAGCCACTTCCCACACACATCTCGGCATCCGGCCCTCAAAAAGCTTCCTTAGAGCGGAGGGGTGCCCTGCACAACCGTGTGAGGGTGGAAAGCCAGGACCGACCTCTCAGCGCAGCACCTCTTTGCCCATTAGTGACGCTATTTCGAAAGGGGAGAGCAGATTCTCATTGGCACGCAAATGATGAACTACCAAAACTGTACCGAGCGTCAGCACTCTCGGTCTGTGGGGCAGGGAGCAAGGTTAGCTGAGTTTCGTGTTTGCCTAGGGAGGGACCGGGGAAACCCCGAGCTGTGCAAATTGATTCACCTAGGGTGGAGGAGACACGGTCTCCAGGCCGTCCGGACTTGTGAGCACCGCGCTCGTCAGCACTTCCAACTCCCCCCTGCACACACACAACTTTGCCTCAGGTAATCTGCCTTCAACGCTCAACTATAGGGAGAATCTCCTTGAGAGGGGGATGAAAGGGAAGTGGACCACTATCTGAAAACATCAGAGAGAGGAGGAAAGGGAGCTGTTTGGCCGATGTGGGTTCAAAGCTTCTGCCTAAACGTAGGGGGCTGGTCAGTACGACTGTCTCGAACAGGAGTGAGTTTAATTCCTGTTGTCTCCCTGTGCCGCCTCCTCTGTGTGAGCTCCATAAAAGCTCAAAGAGCGAGAGGATGATTATTAGCTAAGGGATAGCGTCCCTATTTCTGAGTGAATGAGGAATGTGAAGAAAGGAGTGTTTATGTTCTGTCCAGCCCCACCCCTCAAAAGGGTACTCAAACCTACCCAAGTGGAAGGACCACTTGAGGGTCCCCACGAGGGGCCCTCGGTCGCTGCCTCAGGCTGCTGTTGGCTGCCCTGTGACTAAGGGGAGCACAGAGGGGAAAAGCCGCTCAACCCGGGACACTCGTGCTCTCACCTAGAAACCAATCGGGCCGTGGTTGACCCAGGAGCCCCACAGGGGTTAATATGTAACCATGGAGCTATCAGGGGAGGCAGAGCAAACACCCAAACCTCTTGGTCCCCTAAGGCTTCTAGCTTTCCCTCCCTCTCGCAGCAGCTTTTCCCGAGCTCCCCCCTCCCCTCCAGCTACACCCTTCCACTCCCTTACCGCCACCCCCAGCCCCAGGTTCTCAGCAGTTCTGGCGTTAGCTCTTCGTTCCACTGGAGGCGGGAGGGGATCCCGCCCCAAGGTGGGGATAGGCTGACACCTAGTGACCGCGAGCTGCAACTGCCTCGGGCCGCTGGCCTGAAGAGTAAGGGTCACCCCAGCAGCCCCGGCAAATCCGCGGTCTTTCCTCGTCCCAGTCTCCAAGGAGCCAGGAGAAGAGAGCTGGGACTGTCTGAGGGAGGATTGTGACAGCCGCACGGCCCCGGGAGCCTAAAAGCGAGCTGGGAAGAGGGGTGGTGATAGATTAGTCGACCCTTTCCAGGCACGGAGTTGATGCGGGGCGCCATACACGCAGAAAAACTGGCCTGAAGAAGCTAGAGATCCAGTGGAAGAACAGGGTATGGGCGGAGATCATTGTCGAAGTGAGGCTCGGATCCATCTGCAGGACCAGGGCTTAAAGGACCCGGGTGTGTGACGGGCCCCGCCCCGCTCTGCCAAGATTGGAGTTGAGGGAGGAGAGAGTGTACTCTCAGTGCCCGCCCAGGAGGGGGAGCCGGTAGCCCCGGGGAAAGTAGGGACGTGGGTTAATGAGGCCAAGCGAGCGAGGCGGGGCTCCATCGGCAGTCGGGAGGCGCCAGAGAGGGGTGCCGCGGGGGTGGCGGCGCCCCCAGTAGAGCTCCTTTTCGCCCGAAGTCCGCGGGAGCCAGGCGGGGCCGGGAGACCCCGCGAAACGGCGCTCACGCCCTCGGTGCAGCCTAGGAACCGGAGGGGCGGGAGCAAGCGGCCGGGGCGGAGCGGGGCGGGGCGGGGGCAATAGGGGGCGGGGACAGAGGCCCGCGGGGAGGGCACGGGAGGAGCGCAGGGGCCTAGAGGGCTCCACGAAATCTGTGCGAGGCTGGCGGCCGGCAGCGAGGCGGCCGGGGTGGACTGGCCCGAGAGGGAGCCCCATTCCGGGAGGAGGCCGCCTCGAGGGCAGACAGACGGCAGGGAGGGCCAGCATGCCCCCACTGCTTCACCCCGCCCTGCCGCTGCTCCTGAGCGCCACGCTGACCTTCCGGGGGCTCCGGAGAGCGCTCTGCTGCCTGCCGCTGCCGGCGCACGTGCGCGCCGACCCCCTGCGCACCTGGCGCTGGCACAACCTGCTCGTCTCCTTCGCCCATTCCATCGTGTCTGGAATCTGGGCGCTGCTGTGGTGAGTAAAGGACTGGGGTTTTGAAGGTGGGTGGCTAGGGATCCCGCGTTACCCTCCGCATCCCTCTCGGGCAGGCCGAGGCCATGCAGTCTTACCTGATTTCCCTGTTTGGAAAACTCTCCAACTAGGAGCGGCAGAGGACCCAGGGGGAGGGGAAAAAAAAATCCCATCTGGGAAACGGGAGACACCTGGGTTTCAGCCAGGCCTCTCTCCTCACTGCCCAGTCAGCCAATAGCGCGAGCTCAGATCCCCGGGGACTGGGAAGGGTAATGGGGGATTAGAGGGTCCTTAGGGATGCCGAGATGTTGAGAGCCTGCTTTCTTCGCTCCCAGTATATGGCAGACCCCGGAGTTGCTGGTGGAGATTGAGACGGCATGGTCGCTTTCTGGCTACCTGCTAGTTTGCTTCTCCGCAGGTAGGTCTTGCCCAGAAAGCATTAAGTAGGTGGGGGACGGGGAAAAGCTTGTTCAGGTCTTTTCATGACCTTTTTCTCTCTCTCTGCTAGGGTATTTCATCCACGACACGGTGGACATCGTGATTAGTCATCAAGCCCGAGCTTCTTGGGAATACCTGGTTCACCACGTCATGGTAAATGAGACGCAGGGGATATGGTGTAGGCCTGGTGCTAGCAATCTAGTCTCAGCCTTGTCTGTCTGAACCTGGGAGGTAAAGACCCATCTTTTTCTTAACCCCATTTCTAACCTGTGTCCTACATCCCATTGCTGGGACAGAGGGTTGGCATTGTTTTGTGCTTTTGGCTATTTTAGGCCAGCAATCCCTGGCCTTACCTAGTATCTCAACAAACTGATGGTATCTGGGTTCCCTAACACATTCTCACCCGTGTCTTCTAGGCCATGGGTGCCTTCTTTTCAGGCATCTTTTGGAGCACTTTTGTCGGTGGGGGAGTCCTAACATTGCTGGTGGAGGTCAGCAACATATTCCTCACCTTCCGCATGATGATGAAGATCAACAATGCCCAGCACCTTCTCCTCTACCGGGTCAACAAATATGTCAATTTGGTCATGTACTTTCTCTTCCGCCTGGCCCCTCAGGCCTACCTCACGCACTACTTCTTGCGTTATTTGGGCCAGAGGACTCTGGGCACTTTTCTGCTGGGTATCCTGCTCATGCTGGACATCATGATCCTCATCTACTTTTCCCGTCTCCTCCGCTCAGACTTCTGCCCTCAGCGTGTCCCCAGCCAGCAACACAAAGACAAGTTTTTGACTGAGTGAGAGGCACAAAGCCTACAACTTGTGGCAAGAGCAAACACAGCCAAGAACAGAGCCTCACACATATATGAAAGAATTAGCCCCAAGCCTGGGGCATCCTGGGGATAACCTCTCCACCTTTCAAGTCTGCACCTACTATTGAAAATGCTAATGAAAGCACTCCTCCGAAGTCCTTGTCCTTTCTTGGGCAAGGGGTGAGGAAAGCAGACAGACCGGTTGGACATGCTGGTTGGGTGCGGGGACAAGGTGCTATGAAAGGCAGCCATCCCACACTGCCCTGAAGTGGATGCTAATGAGAATTGTGTATTGTGTACTGGTTTCATACAAAGCCTCTTCCAGGGATAAAGGGAGGGGTTCTTGTTTTTTCTCCTACCACTATGATGGTGGCAAATCGTAGTTGTCCTAGGACAGACAACCAACCCTCATCTGGGCCACAAATATTTGAGTTCCTGTTGCTAAAATGTTAACAAGCGTGGTGAGGTACTAAAGCAGAGTGTTCCAACAGGGTAAGTTGACCAAGAGTCTTGCCCAAGCCTTGTTACTGTGGTGTGTATACACCACAGTATGGCCTTCCTGAAGCCCAACCAGAAATCGACAGAGAAACATATATGTTGAAAAAATTTATATTTAGATTTAGCCAGCTGGACTCAGTTTAGATGATCCCAATCTGAAAAACAAAAGGGGAGCTTTGTTACTGGGAGACAAAATGTGAAGATTAAGCTGGAAGGTCATGATTAAAAAGCAAAAATAAGGCAAGGAAAGGGCCTATTAAGGATAGGGGTGCAGTCATTTAAGACTAAATCAGCAAGTCAGGTTTTGGTCAGTAATGGACACATCACTTGCACTTCGGGGGTGAGTTAACAGCAAAGGAAGCTTACTTTGTTGGCAACATCCAAAGCATCATAGTCAGGAGCCAGTCGAACATATGCTTTCTTTTCTCCATCGGGCCTAGGATGAAGGAAGCTTTAGTTCCCGCTGTTCTCACAGCCCCCAAACCCTCCCTTCTTCCCCTAGTCTTTATGGCACATCGGTGGTTCCTTTGTCCATGTCAGTCTTTTCCAGCATTTGCACAGGAGGCTAGGGATGCCACCAAGCCACAAATGAAATCAACTCCCTTTTACATGGAACACCATATAACATTTTAAAACTTAACTCCAAGTAATCTGACATAAATTTTCTCTTACTCTAGGGCCTGTCTGTCTAGAGGTATAGAGATCAAGAAAATGAACACTAACTCCACACATCAAGTCCTAGAGGCAGGAGAACTAATGTGTCCTCTAAAGTCTGTATAGATACAAAGGACTAACTACAGTAGAAATCACTCATTTCTCAAGGCTTGCAAGCTGTGAAACCTACTGACTCCATGCAGATTTCTTGGCTCACCTGATCAGAGTGTTGACCTTGGCCACATCAATGTCATAGAGTTTCTTCACGGCCTGTTTGATCTGGTGCTTGTTGGCCTTGACATCCACAATGAACACAAGAGTGTTGTTGTCTTCTATTTTCTTCATGGCCGACTCTGTAGTCAGGGGGAACTTGATGATGGCATAGTGGTCAAGCCTGGGGAAGAGGCAAAATGGGGTCATCTGGCCTGGGTCCAATAAAAGGATTAGGTCTCTTTTAGATCTCAAAGCCAGAAGAGCCCAGGTGCATCAGACAATAAAGTAGCAATCATTTTTGTCAGACTTTGGTCGCTAAACAGTGTCATCATCTGCACCCTGTAACTTAGGGACCTGGAACCTCAGCCTGGGGGACAGAACCCTGTACTCTTCTGCTTGAAGGACTTTCACCCTTTAAGTGATTAAAGAATCAGCTCTGAGTTCCAAACCCCTCCATTATTTATTTGACCTCAACATTTTGGAGGGCAAACTTCTGGAAGAAACTTGACACTTCTGAGGTTACACAACTTACCCCTAGAGCACAAAGCTGGACTATGGGATCTTAAAACCCAGGCTAGAGTTCCAAAGAATGTTGGTGCTTCATCAGGAGATTAGCCAGACATTTCTGCTCCCTCTGGTTGGTGAAAACTGGCTTGAGGGCCATCAACTGAGAGCAACCCTTATTTACAGCCTAAGTTAAAACTACAGTGGCTTGAACACACCTACAACACAGCTTTCCCCCTGAAATTCAGAGAAACAAGTCTCCATTCACCTGGACACCTGCTTCCTGTTTTAAAGCTAGACATCAGGTCTCAACCTCTCCTCACACTAACTCCTAGGTCCAAATGGGGCAGAACCCACTCCTGCCTTTTTCTTAGGAAAGCAGTGGGAGGTAGCAATTACTACTGGTGTTTTAATCTGTGGCCCTTAAGGTCAGTTATTACCAGTAGTGTGGCAAATACTCAAAAACTCCAACCCTCCCCTCCCCCCAACTATTCCTTGAGTTTAACGAGTTGAGAGTAAATGAGAAGCTTCTATACACCGCTGCAGGCCTTCTCTGACTAATACAGATTATTAAATATCCTTAACCTAGAATCATCCCACACTGTCACCATCAAGGACTGTCCCCTACAGTAATAGGGAACTCCAAAACAAAAGCATGTATCAAAGTCCTACTATATACTCCAAGAAAGCAGACTTTAAAACCCTGACCATATGTGAAGCAATAATTAACCTAATAACCAGAAGTCACTGAGTTGTCTTAATGCCTGCCAATGTTGTCAAAATGCCTCCTCTTGTCCTTAAATAGGGCATTAACAATCTCTTCACACTATTAAGAGACGCACACTAGGTACCAACAGATATTTGACAAGGCGTGCTGTAGGTCTGGTAAATTTCCAAATTACGAATGGAGGATACCCAAGATCTTTTCATGGGAGAGGGGCAGTACTGACTTGTTTCTCCTGGGGGCGCTCTTTCGAGGATATTTGGGCTGTCTTCGGAGACGCAGGGTCTTGGGCCGTCGGAATGTAGGTGACGTACGGATCTTCTTTTTTTTATGACTGTGGACGCCTTTCAGCACTGCTTTCTTGGCCTTCAAAGCCTTTGCTTTGGCTTCGGCTTTGGGAGGGGCAGGGGCTAAAATAAAGAATATGAAGGCACGGGATTCAGAAACCATTCACTTCCGTCCTCAAGACCCCTAGCGGGCGCTCCAAGGCACACGTGCATCAGCGGTTCCTTTGAAGACATCACAAGTCTCAGGAGGTTACAATTTTTCCATCATATGCACGGTACTGGGGCGAACTTGGAATAACTCCAGCGATACGACGAAAAAAAAAAAAAAAAAAACACCTAGCAATGATCGAATGCTTGATACTTGACAACATATACTCTAATAGTTTTAACTGTTCATAGCCCCGTCTAACACGTGGAAAAAAGGAAAATTAGGTGCGGACAACAACTCAGGTCTGGAGACATGAAACTCCGGCCTATGGATGCGTGTAGTTCCCCAAAGCCAACAGTCTGGCAGCCCCGACAGGTGGTGGCGGCCGGACTTGCCTCCCCAAACCCTGTCACGGAGCTCAGCCCATGCGGCTGGGCCCACGCGCGCCGTAGAGTGGCAGAATGCTAGAAGTAGCTCCGGAGCAGACACCCCAAGAACTAGCTCAGCCTCCATCCTCCCAGTTTGTTCACTCTGCGGGAATCCCAGGCCAACTAGCTGCGGTACCCCCAGCCCCAGCACAGACCTTCCTTCTTCGCCTTCGGCGCCATCTTCGTGAAAGGGATTTCCGAGGCTTGTTTCCAGGGGCTTATAGAGCCAAGTCTCACGGAAGAATCGCGATACTTTTCATTTAAAGCTCATTGGATAATCTATGGCGCGGAGACCGCCGGGAATGGTAGTTAGGTTTAGTTTCCTCCCCAGAGTGATTAAGCATGCTCCACCTCTTCCCTCGAAAGACACTATAGCTTCTTGGGAGTTGTAGTGTTTTGGAGACACGTGTTTATTTGCTGCTGCGGGTGGATGGTGGATGGTGCAGCCAGCTGCCGCTTGCGTTTGGTCCTGAGCGCTTTCCATCTTGAGGAAAGAGGATCGTGGTTGCAGGAGACAGTAACACTGAAAACTGAAGTGAATATAATTAGGTTGATTTGGAGAGTAAAGCGAAGTTCTAGAACGTTAGAGCAGAATTTGGTTCAAGTCCTTCAAACAATATCTGTAGAAATTTGGGTCCAGAGAGGGGATGTAGTTTATCAATAACAGTGATTTGGTGTTAGAAAAAGTCAAGGGGAGCCTAGGTGGCTGCCGGTTAAGCGTGGGACTCTTGATTTTGGCTCAGGTCATGATCTCACGGTTGGGGGGTTGGAGCCCCACATTGACAGTTCGGAGCCCGCTTGGGATTTTCTCTCTGCCTCGCCCCCATGTTTGCGCTCTCGCGGGCTCTCTTTCTGTCTCAAAATAAATAAGTAAACATTTTTTAAAAATTAAAAAAGAAAGAAAGAAAGAAAGAAAAGTTTGAGTCAGGCAGAGGGGAAGAGGAAAGTATCCGAGGAGGTAGAAGGTGGCCACATCTGCCCCTCTTTACCTGTGACAGTCAGATTTTGTGTGTTTTCCCAATAATACTCTTGAAACTCTACCAATATTCCAAACACCCAGTGTACAGATTTCTCCAGGATTTGCTAATTCTTGTGAATAATTTCATTTACAGTCCCCTCCCTTTAAGTAGTCCTCCCATCCTTGCTTCAGTCATGTTTGCATCCTCAAAATCAGTTCCTGACACAGAGCAAGTTTTAGTAAAGCTCAGGTTTGCTTCTGTGAGGGTCTGTGTCTATCCCACCTCCACCCTGACCTTTCTTTCTTCCTCCTCTCCTCTTTGGAGCCAGGGCTCCCCCTTTGACAGTGAGAATTATTGTGTGCCACACCCCTCTTTTATCCTGCAGAACTGCAGAATGGAAAAGTTGTCCTTGAGGGTTGGTTCCAATGGGACCAGAGAGAACGCCTATACCAGAGCAGAGGCCCCATGTCCCAAAGCGGTGACCTACCCAAAGGGCAGAGTTTCAGGTCTACCTACCCCTTCTTTATCTTCCATCCAGGCGTGGTCTTCAGCCTCCCCACCCGTCAATCTACACCGCTTTAAAGGAAAAGACACCAGACTTCAGACGTCTCTTTTCTCGGTGAGCATCCCATTCCGACCCTGGCATCCCCTGTGTGCTTCCCCCCACCCTATCCTATCCCAGGGCAGAAGGGCGAGCGAGGGCAGACTCTATGAGTCACGTCCTGGGCCTGGAGTTGAGGAGGGAAGCGCCGCCTCTCCTCGGGCCCCTTCTCTCCTCCTTTCCCCTCCCCGCGGGTTCCTGGCCTGCCTAGCCAGATACTGCGCAGCAATCACGGTTCTCCATCACCAGTTTGCCTGGGTAAGGGTCCCCTTGAAGCCGCAGCCCGGCACAGAGTTGCAAGGGAGAGCAACCTGGGAGACCTCGATCTGGACAGGTTCCAGCCTGCGTGGAGGCGGTCCCGGTGCCCGTGGGGCATCTGGAAGGGTAGCCTGAGCTGGGACAGCGTAATGGGGAGGAGAGGAGGGGAGGTTGGGACAGCCCGCGAGGCCGGGAGCTGCCGGGAGAGGGGCGGGGGGCGGCCCTTCTCCAGGAATTTCCGGGGATCATGTTACAGCGCTCGCGGAGGGAGAGCTGAGTGGGACGCCAGGTCCTGCTGCGGTCTGGGACCCAGGCCCCCTCTTCCAGCAGCCCGCGGGCCTTGCAGCGCCATCCCTGAGCACACTGACCCCGTGCGGCGGGGCCGCTCCGCGCCCCCAGGCAGCTCTGTTATGGTAGGGCCGCCTGAACCCCGAGTTGTCGTCGGGTCACCGCGGCCCCGAGTCATTGTAGGAACTATCCGACCCCGAATTATTGTGGGGTCTGCGCGGGCCCGGCCCCCTCCGGACGGGACTTCCCGCCCCCATTTGGCGGCGGAGGAGTCTCCCCGCCCCCGAGTCATCCTCGGGACCCCCCGGGCCCGGGTGATTGTGGGTTCGCCCCGGCCTCGGATGATTGTTTCATCCCCGTGGCCCGCTGTGGTCGTAGCGTCTCCGAGGCCGCGAGCTCCTGGAGGCTCCCCGTGGCCCAGAGTTATAGTCGGGACACCTCGGTCGCGGGTGATTGTCGGGTCTCCACGGGCCCGGGTCGCTGGGGCGGATCAGGCTCCAGTGCCTTCTCGGGGCTCCCCGCAAGGCCGTAGGCGAGATGAACATTCTGGCGCCGGTGCGGAGGGACCGCGTCCTGGCGGAGCTGCCCCAGGTAGGCTCCAGGGCCGCGTCGGGCTTCTGGCTGCGGTGGGGTGTGGGCGGGGGGAGGCGGCACCAGATCAGTTAGAGGCTTGGGCCCAGCCCTGCCACCCGGCTAGGTCGGCTGCTTCTGGGTGGTCCCCTACCCCCGCCCAGCGCAGCTTGGCTGCGGGACATGGGCCAGGAGTGGGTGAGTCCCATCGTCTTCGATTCGTCTCAGTGCCTGAGGAAGGAGGCCGCTTTGCACGTGCACAGAGACTTCAACCCCCGCGTCACCTGCGCCTGCCAGGAGCACCGGACAGGCACCGTGGGGTGAGTTAGACACCCTTAACCAAGAAAGGAAGGCTCAGGAAACCCTGTAGTCAAAGCTAGGGTGCACAAGCACCCCTGGGGCTCCATTTCAGCTTCTCCCAGCTATATATGGTTATTCCCCCTTTTTATATCCATGTGTTCTCCCTTTTCTTCCCAGCAAGCTTGTGTTGAGTCCTATGAAATGGGGTGGGGTAGAAAGGTGGTAGTTCACTTCCTGAAACAGAAGGTGTGCAAGGGGGAGGTGCGGGGCTGGCATGGTCACGAGCTCAGCTTCCCACATACCACACATTTGAGCCCTAGGGCAGGGGGATGTGCCTGGAGGGATGTGTCCCGTTATGGGTAAAAGAAGGTAATACTAATAACACTTGCCAACCATTAACTGAGCATTTACTATGTGCCCGGGCAGTGTGTTGGTTACTGTTATTGTATTTTATTAAATGGAAAACACCATCACTTTTAAGCTGTATCCTGATTTCAGAGATGTTATCAAATGTATGTGTGGAGGCTGAAGGGGAGGTATGTCTCAGAATATAGGGCATTGATCTTATTTCAATTGTCACAACAACCCAATAGAATATATACTAAATCTTTACCTAACACATGTTGAAACTGAGGCTCAGAGAGGCCAAGTAACTTGTCCAAAGTCACACAGCTAGTAAATGTAAGAACTGGGATTCCAATTCATGTTTCTTTGATGCTGAAGCAGAAAACACTCCTCCCCAGCAAGTGTGTCCAGGCAAGCTGCCTGGGAGGCCCCGTGCCTATGGTAACCTCAGCCTGGGTGCTGCTAACGTTATAGATCTAGTACGGAACATTGAGACTCTCTAGGTTGCAAGAGTTAGTGCTCATTCCTCCTGCCCACCTTTGTGTCCTGCAGATTTAAGATCTCCAAAGTCATTGTGGTGGGGGACCTGTCCGTAGGGAAGACTTGTCTCATTAATAGGTAAGAAGGCACCTCTAGTTGGGCTGGTTTGGGCCGGGCAGGGTTCAGCCAGACCTAGCCAGGTGGACTGGGCTCAGGGCCAGAGCATCTGGTACTCCTGCAGGTTCTGCAAAGATACTTTTGATAAGAATTACAAGGCCACCATTGGAGTGGACTTTGAGATGGAACGATTTGAGGTGTTGGGCGTCCCCTTCAGTCTGCAGCTGTGAGTGCTTTCTCCATACCTTCCAGCCATTCCTTCCCCCAGCACCTATACCCCGCCTCACAGGCCCCTCCCACATACCCGTGTTTTACCCCCTGCTTCCTCCCAGCTGGGATACTGCTGGACAGGAGAGGTTCAAATGCATTGCATCAACCTATTACCGAGGGGCTCAAGGTAAGGGCGGGGGTGAGATGGGGCAGGTGGGTGTTCCTGGCCTCCAATCTAAGACTTGGGGGGATTTGGGAAATGAGCCAGTAATGTCAGCTGTTTTTGCCACTTTTCCAGCCATCATCATCGTCTTCAACCTGAATGATGTGGCCTCCCTGGAACACACCAAGTATGTAGGGATGCTGCACTGTAATGGGGGATTTGGGAAGAGGGGGTTCAGAAAAGAGGGGTGGTCAGGTATATCGGTAGTGAAGAAGAATGCATCGGGGACCAGAGAGAGGGTAATGGGCATATGAGTGACAGCAGGAGGAGCCTGTCCAGCTCACTCATCCTTGATTGTCTACCCTCTATGGCAGGCAGTGGCTAGCTGATGCACTCAAGGAGAACGACCCTTCCAGTGTGCTTCTCTTCCTCGTGGGTTCCAAGAAGGACTTGAGTGTAAGTGTGCCAGTCAGGGGGTACTTCCATTTTGGTGAGGGGCTCCTCCCCAACCCTTGCCGTCTGACTCTGCCCTTCTGTCAGACTCCTGCTCAGTATATGCTGATGGAGAAAGACGCACTCAAGGTGGCCCAAGAGATGAAGGCTGAGTACTGGGCGGTCTCATCTCTCACTGGTGAGTCAGCGGCTTCAGGTCTTTTGAAATGGCACTCCCGCCTACCTGGCCTCTCATTCCTCTACCTTCAGCTGTGCCCAATGACCCCAGGCTTGGAACTGCCCCTAAGCACCCATTTGCTCCACGTGTCAGGTGAAAATGTCCGGGAATTCTTCTTCCGTGTGGCGGCACTGACCTTTGAGGCCAACGTGCTGGCTGAGCTGGAGAAATCGGGGGCCCGGCGCATTGGGGACGTTGTCCGTGAGTGCCTACCTGGATGAGGGTGGCAGAGAGCACGGGGAACCTCTCATCCCTGCCTCACATATTTCCCACCCTTCTTCAGGCATCAACAGTGATGACAGCAACCTTTACCTAACTGCCAACAAGAAGAAGCCCACGTGCTGCCCGTGAGCGGTAAGGAGACGGTCGAGAGACTGGCCAGCCCTGGGGCACTGTGCCACCTTGATTGTCCTAGAGCTCGACCCTGGACATTTGCACTGATTGTTTTTCCAGACCAAAGAGCTGCCCCTTCGTGGCAGTACCCCTGGAGGGGTAGCAGGGACCATGCTAGTCACTTCCTGCCCCAGACACCATGCCAAAGACTAGATGTCCTCCCTCCCCAGGGGCTCTCCGGGCTGCCCAGCAGTGGGGAGGTAGTCCCTGCTGCTTTTGCTTAGCCTGCTGGACCCCTTGAGTATGAGGATGCTTAATGATCCAAGCCTTACACTGTGCCTTATGCATTAAAATCTCTGTTATTAGCAGTTTGGGGACTGGAGTCCTTTGTTGGGGATGAGGGATGTGGAATGGGCAGAACTGTATGACTGTCTTGGGACTGGAGCTTCCTGTGGGATTCTGGCCATACCTGACCCCTGGGCAGGGCTCAGAAAGGCTGGGAGCTCAGGAACCAGATTTGGAGGGCTATCCTGGACTCTCAGTGTTTGGTTTTGAGAGCTCTTTCCTTTGGTTCCTTATCCCCACCTGAGTCCTCCTACTTGGTGCTTGTTCCCAGATTTCTTCCATTGGATACTTTCTTCTTTTTTTTCCATCCTCTTCCTACCTTCCCTTCCTACTTCTCTGGGGGCGCCTGGGTGGCTCAGTTGGTTAAATGTCCTACTTGTGCTCAGGTCATGATCTCATGGTTCGAGCCCCACATTGCACTCTCAACTGTCAGCGTGGAGCCTGCTTAGGATCCTCTGTTCCCCCCCCCCCAAAATAAACATTAAGAAAATACAATAAAATAAAAAATATTTCCCTGAGGGGAACACAGTAAGGAGTGACTGAGTTTTGCATGCTCTTTGGGTTGACCAGAAGGCCCAGAGTGGGTATGGGCTTGGCTTTTACCCAGAAGATGTGTTATCTAACAACTAACTATATTAATGATATAAACATAAATGTATGAGTAGTATCATTTTAAATTATTATTATTATTATTATTATTATTATTATTATTTTATTGTTTATTTTTGAGAGAGAGACAGAGCAATAGAGTGGGAGAGGGGCAGA